GATGAAGGGAATGGTTAAATCAATGATCCCCAAGCTGTGGTTTGCAGTTAATATGTACAGCCATGGTTAGCATTAGCAGTTCTGAGCTTCACATCTGCATACACTGTTGGGAGCAAATTTGGCATCCAAATGACTTTGAAAGCACCTTTGTTAAAAGTTAGGTAACTGAATGAATGAAGCTTATTTACTCAACAACTAGCTGAAATGATCAGGCACTTGCTGAAAGCAGACATTAAAAACTTTTGAGGAATTTTATGGTTCTGAAAACCTGGAAAAGACTAAGCTTTCGGTTGACCTTGAAACACCCATGGAAGTGATTTCTTTGAGAGAAGCTGCTGGGAGTTCCTTCTCTGATTGTGACCAGGCCAATAGCTGGCGAATTCTGAGAACTGACAGCATTTTTCACCACTGAAAAGTAAGATCACCTTTGTGAATACCACATTTAAAAACCCAAGCCGGGGAACTTCTCTCCCTCTCTCTCTCTCTCTTTCTGGCCTTGAAAGGCAGCAGAGCTCTGGTGAGGCTGGCCCCGCTGCCCCGGGGCCTGTGCGGCCTGAGGGGGGCTGAGCCAGAGCCCAGTGGCTCCCGGGTGGGGGATGGAGACTGCGGGGCTTCCTCTGGCCCTAGGCTGGGACAGGCTCTGCTGGGAAGCACTCTGGGTCCCGTTCCAGCAGGGTGGCCAAAGCTCTTCCCAGGGGGACCCTGGTCCCAGGCTGGGCCGAGCCACGGCTGCTGACACTCCAATCCCCCTGGCTCTCAGAGACGGCTCCAGCCTGACTATGGGAGGACAGTCCACTCCAGGCTGAGGCACCAGCACGGCCTGAAATCCACCGTGACTGCCTGTGTGGCCTGGGAAAGATTTAACCCTTTCACTACACAAATGAGACCTGCAGACCTTGTCCCTGTCTCCATGGAAAGAAAAATATGGAGTGACACATAGAGAGACAACATGAAACATCAAGGTCAGTAAAAGAAGGAGTCAAGCCTCAGATGGAAGGAGAATGAGGAGATGCTCTAAAAAGCTGAAATATTCTTTTGGTAGGACCATGGAGATGGACAATAATGTTCTGAAAATAACTCCTTTAATTCGTAAAAGAGTACTAGGGGAATGAAGTATTCAAGCTGTAGATCTGAGCAGAGGTATCCATCGATGAAGCTAAGCAGATGTTGGAGTAGCTGTGATCCCATGAGACACTTGAACACAGAGAGAGATGAAAGTGGTGAAGACCCTTTGGCCCAGGGAGAGAAGAAGAAAACCTCTGTTCCCAGAGATGATCCCAGATTGAGAGAACCTTTGCCTTTGGAACTCATCCTTAAAATAATACCCCATGAGTTCATGGCCCATGAACACACCTCTGAGTGCTGTGAAAATGGGAGAGCATGATGGCAGAATTTCTGCCAGGGCAGCTGCCATTCATAGAAATGAAAAGCCACAAGAGAACTGTTTCTTGTGGAGAACTCTCTATGGAATGACAAGAGAAAACTCCTTTCCCTACAAAGACTGATGAAAAGACTATTATACAGTTGGCACTGCTTTAACATCCCAGGATTTGTCTCTATGTTGTCAGTTGGGAAAGGAAAAAAGTTGAGTGGGGGAGGAAAGGTTTCTGGAGGTTTTATTCTGGTTTCTTATTCTTGTAGTCCTGTTAATAAAGTTTCTTTACTCCATTTAAGTTTTAAGCCTGCTTTCCGCTTCTTCTAATCCATATCTCACAGCAAGAAATGAGTAAGTGCACTGGTGATTTTAGCTAGTGCTAAAACTCACCACAACCTTCTTCTACAAATAGAGGTGTCAGGTGATGCTGATTTAGAATAACTGAATTTACTTATGAATCAATGTTGGAGCACCAAACAAATGGTAAAGCCTTTCTGATTGATAAAGCAGTTTAAAAGAAGAATCCTAACTTAAACTAAACAAGCTCCAACTGCAGTCCATGTAACTGCCTCTAGAGAGCAGGAAAACTATTTCTAGCTAGAGGTTACTTCAGAAAACTCTGGCTATGGCTTCTATTTTTAGATCATGCATGCAGACACAGATGCCTGGAATAATTCAATTGTGCTTACCTTGTCACATAAGAGGGGCTGGGAGTAGATCTTCTGTGGGGAACCTTTCAGCAACGTATTTTTCTGTTTGGTTCAGAACTGCTTTTCTTTTGTGAGGAAAATTAGTCAGCAGAACAAAACTGGAAGTTTGCTCTTAAGGTTTTGAGCATTTTTTGACTTGACTAATAACTAAAGCCATAAGCATAAGATACAACAATTATTCTTTGAGAACACATGCAAACCCATTATTCATTTTGCACACTCAACAGCTTTTCTACTTTGGCTTTTGTTTTTAAGATTAAAAGACAACACGTCAGACAGTTGTAGTTAAATAAGTAACCTGCATTACTTGTACAAAAAGTTACATAAATACAAGTTTGCTGTTCTGTTTTCTCTTTAGAGCATCCTTTTAAAAAATAACCAGTAATCCTTATATTACTGAGATGCTGCCAAGTCACAATTCAGAAGACAGACATGTGAAATTAAATCCACACTGTACAGAGACAACACAGTGGCCCCTCCAGATCAGATCCTTTGAATTTATCCTGTGCACAGTTAAACAGATACAATGGAACATGTGATAGCTTGAACATATTTTGCTTTTACACATAAGAAAATACTTCCCCATGCTGCATTTTGTTAACTAATGTATCAAAAATATCCATCACATCGTCATCATCATCATTGCTATTATTATGTTACTAAGGAATTGTCCTTCATTCCATGCATAATTATCTTCTCCCAAGTTAAAAACATCATCCCTCCCTCATGTCATTGTCTACAGAGCACTCTGTGCACAGTGAAGCAGATCCCCAATTAAATGCAAGTGCTATTAAAATTAAGAAAAATACACTATTACTGTTGATTTTAGAGGAACAAAATTCTGGGGAGATTTAAAACAAAACCGAAATAGTTTTATCTGGACAAAATAATGTACAATTATTAATATTGCACTTTTTATACAAGAAATCCTAATAAATATACAGAAAAGATATACATTTACATACACAGAAAGTCATTATTCTTTTTTTTAAATAAAAAGTCGCACTGATGCTTAGTTCTTGAAAACCCATTTCTACCAAGAACATTCACTCCCAGATGTATTTTAAGTAAGCCAATGTGAGACAGTTTAATATCATGAACCTGGCACTGACCTCAATAATGGACCCCCAGTTTTACTGAAAAATCCATGTCATGAAAGCTGTAGCATAGCAGAACTTGAACAGCATTTCATTAATATACCACAAGGCACTAGCCCCAACAGGAGTTATGGGAGAAACGCAACCAAGCCTTTCATTTAGAGAAGGTCGTGAAGCAAAACCTGGGATCAGGTAGTTCTCCTTTAAAGTTATACAATTCTCAAACTCTCTCCTTTGCAGATTTCCTCTAATTTTATTTTTTTTTTTTCCTGAGAATACCCAGGAGGTAAAATCATGCAGCACTTCACTGGCTGAATATCCACTGCAGCTGGCCAGGTGGAAAGACTCACAGCCTGCATGCAAAATCATGTTGTGACTGTGATGTTTGAGTCTCATTTTTCAGACTGTACCTTCGGAGTCTTATACATGGACTTAAGGATCTGCTTTATAGCTTCTGTTTTGTTGTGGGAGGCAGCTGGAGAGGAGCAAGTTTCTTACAAATTATTTGCATTAGTCCAATGAGGCTGATGCTACAGTCATTCTGTTTCAACTGAGTAGTAACAACCATGAAAAATTAGAATAAAGCTCTTTTCTACCAGTTATCCAAAAAGCTTGGCTGCTAGGAAAGAGAAATTTCTAACAAAAGAGAAAAAACAACTTCCTCAAATTATTTTTCAAAACCCCAGGTCTGAAAGCACCAGAATTTTGGGAGGTAATACCTCTTTTTTCTAAATAAGTGTTAGTAGGATGCAGTATGCAAAGTGTTTCCTGCTTATCACATACAATTTCTATCTTTCCTGCCTATGATCTCTAGGGAACAGTGTTTGCAAGTTTGTATGAAAGTCTGTCAAAGAGATCATACTTCTTTTGCTGGTTAATTATTAACATTGGCACTGCACTTCTGTGCTGAGGACAGCCCTTCATTCCCCAATCCTTCCTCACAAGCTCAAGCTGGAAACATTTTCAGGTGTATTTTAGACCCACTTATGTTACAGACCATTGTCCAACTTCTTCAGACCTAGATTCTCAAAGATCACAAGGATGTCCTTTGCCTGGTGTAGGAAGGAGAGAGGGGTTTAGAAATTAAAAGGCTTCCAATCTTGGATGCAACAAATAAGCTTGTAAAGCAAAATCACATACTTAGGTTATCAAGGTAGTCTAAGGGAGATGAGAGCTGCTCAGAAGAAAGAGACCAGGGGGTGCTGGTTAACATCTGGCTAAATATGAGCCAGCAGTGCCCAGGTGCCTGAGGTGGCTAATAGTATCCTAGCCTGTACCAGCAATAGTGTGGCCAGGAGGACCAGGGCAGTGATTCTCCTCCAGTACTCAGCACTGGTGAGGCCACACCTCAAATCCTGTGCTCAGTTTTGGGCCCCTCACTCCTGGAAAGACATTGAGGTGCTGGAGAATGTCCAGAGAATGCCTATTAAACTGGTGAAAGATCTAAAAGACACATCCTATAAGGAACAACTGGGGCAGCTGGCATTGTTTAGCTCCGAGGAGGCTCAGGGCTGACCACATTGCTTTCTACAACTGCCTGAAAGGAGGCTGTAGTCAGATGGGGGTCAGTCTCTTCTGCCATGTTTCAAACAATAGGATGAGAAGAAACAGCCTCAAATTGTGCTGTGGAGGCTCAGATTAGATATTAGAAAAAAATATTCACTGAAAAAGTGGCTAGATATTGGATTAAGTTGCCCAGGGAGGTGGTGGAGTTACCATCTCTGGCAGTGTCCAAGAAGAGTCTCGATGTGGCACCCAGGGATAGGTTAGGGGTGGGTATGGTAGTGCTGTTAATGTTTGGACTAGATAAACCTGAAGATCTCTTTTGACCTTGATGGTCCTGTGATTCTGTAACATGATGCTAGGTTTTGACTCTGGTCCTCTTCCTCACCTGTCTCTTGGTGTGTCCCACAGGCATGTACACAGATTGAGGGGAAGCCCCACTCCTCTCATACCCATCTCTTGGTGTCATGGATCTCTTTGACTTTTTCTGGTCTACCCTCATGACCACGTTTATCTGCATTCCGTCTCCCAGATTCATAGAAGGGAAAACTTGTCGAGTCCCTTTACAACAATGATTTGTTAAAGGGTTGGATTTTTTTTTTAAAGGGAAATAAATAAATAAAATGAAAAAGATCATTCCATCCATCTGTATTTTCTGCAAAAGCCTTTTTTCAGTGAAGAAAAGGCTGTGATCCCCTTGTTCCTCCATTTTCATTTCGTCTGTCTTCAAGATTTTCCACAAGTCCCACAGCAACGTGACTTAAATTGGGTGAGCTGGCAGAGTTTGAGCTGCTTCACTTTCTCACAGTACCTTGTGGTATCTCTGCACTCCACTGTGAAAGGAGAAGAAGAAGAAATGGTGATGAAGTTATGAGTAAAGGATTTATTACCTGAGAATATATATCTTTGGGTGGCCAAGAGGAGGACCTTTGTGCTGGGAGATCTTACTGTGAGCATGAGTTTGACTTGCTGCAAAGACCAAAGGTGGACTGCAAGTCCACAGGATCAATGAAGAATTGGTAGGCAACATTTACTTTCAGAGCCTGGGGAAGGGGCTTCTGAGGCTGCTCCAACACTGTCAGTTTGTCTTCTACCAGCATTTTAGAGAGGCTCTAAGGGTTTCCTAGCAGTTAAACCAAAGATGAATAACTTAATGAAACTGGATACTTGTTTTAATGGAGCTCAGAGACCCTTTGTCCTGTTTTCCACATTGGAAGAGCCAGGGTGTGGGAGTGTCACCCCACCTCAGCTGACTGGAAGTTGTCTTGTGTTTTTCACAGGTCAGAAACAACCCATCATGAAGATTTTAAAACACCTTTCGAACTCCTCTAGGGCTTAGGTTCTGGTATTATTTGTACATTATTTGAGGCCCTGCTTTTTAGTTTGGATAACTGTCCAGTATACATGCAATATTGGGATTTGGGACATTTGTGTATACCAGAAAGAGGTTGGAGTGTCAGCAAAGGTTCTGCTTGATACCTCTAATCTTCCTCATTGCTTCAGCTTCCATTAGGGCCCCCCAAACTCGTGAGTTTGGACCTATGTAGTCCACTTTGTCTCTGCTGAGAGGGAGCATCAGAGCTGGTGTGAATATAGGCAAACACATGTGGGTTCTGCTACTGCATCTGCAATGATTGCAAAGCAACTGGCTTGCAAGATAGAGGATGTGTGCATAATCTCCAAAGAGGCACATTGTCTGTTCTCTTTTTTTCATTCAATTTCTTAATTAATAACTTTTCTAGTCCCCTGGCAGGCCAAATTTGTTGCTTGTAGTTTGAAAGAAAGCAGTCTTGCCTGCATCACCATTATCCAATCCAGCTACCCACTGGATTTGGACTACAGCCATACGTCTGCTTGTGATTTGTGCTTTTCTTTCTGACTGTACAATTAACTGAAAGTTAATCATAGAATCATAGAATGGTTTGCATTGTATGGGGACCTTGAAGATCATTTAGTTCCAACTCTCCTACTGTGGACAAGGATGCTTTTCACCGGACCATGTTGCTCAGAGTCCTATCCAACCTGTTCTTGAAAACCTCCAGGGATGGAGCATCCACAGCTTCTCTGGGAAACCTGTGCCACTGTCTCATCACCCTCACAGTAAAGAATTTCTTTCTAATAGCTAATCTAAAACTACTCTGTTTCAATTTGAAGCCATTCCCTCTTGTTCTGCCACTACATGGCCTTGGTAAATAGTCTTCCTCCATCTTTCTTTTAAGTTCCCTTCAGGTACTGGAAGGCCACAAGTAGGACACCTAAAAAGAGGGCTGTACAATCCCATTTGCCTCAGCCTTTTCACATGACAGGCCCTCCCTCCATCCCTCTGATCAACTTGGTGGCCTACTCTGGACTTGCTCCAGAAAACTGCATGAATTATTTCTCATGCTGTTAGAAAGGGGACACAATCCTAGCCCTAACGTCATTGCCAAATGCCTCCACAATGGGCAGCATTCCTCTCTGGGATGCTGAGCTTTAGACACTGGATTTTGCACAGGTCTGGGCTGGAGGTTCCCCAGGATGCCCAGCTGCAAGGTCCAGTGCTGTGTTTCTGAGGGACAACTCTCCCTTCTTTCCTACTCCTGCACCACTCTGCCTCCCCTCCTCTCAGCAAAGTACCATTTTCACAGGGTGTGATGTTGCAGCGCTGCCAGTTTGCTGGTCTTGGCCTCCAGGAGCAGTGGTGCTCCATCACGGGCTTGTTGGTGCGGATGTGCACGCAGTCCACACGCCGCGACTGGAAGCCGTAATTTCCGCATGTAGCCGTGCAGACGGTCCATAGGCTGACTCTCCAGTGCACACCACAGACATCAGTCCAGCAGTTCTGGGTGCTGAATGGCCTATGGGCGGGAGGGAGGGAGGGAGCGAGAGGAAACATTATATATCCTAAAGGTAATTCACTCAGAGCATTGTATGCATCAGATACACTTGATACATCAGATGCATCTGACCTGAAGGCCAGCAGTTTTGAACTGTTCTCAAGGACCAGACCCTCAGCAGGTGCACACTGGTATACCAACATCAGGCTAAATGACCTTTTGAACTATTTGAGGATTTGGCTGAAATGCCCTCTCCACGAAGGGCCAAACAAGAGATCTGGTGAAAGGTGAAATGAGTGGTGACCAATGTGGTCCAGCAGGACTTCATAAATTTTTTATGGCTTTACAGCCAGTGGGAACAGAACCAGCTCTCTGAAACCCTTCTTTTTCTTTCAAGACAGTCTCACAGAAGATGTATATAGGCACACTTGATTCATATCTATTTGTCACACAGGTAGTAAAAGGCATGAGTGGGAGCCAACAAGCCAATTACATTAATAGTCATGATCTGTCATGATTTACATACCTGTCCCATTTAAAATAAATGTCTTTACAATGTTGACAGTGGAGTTTATCTGCAGGAAAACAAAACCTGTGGAGACCCTTTTTTTTCTGTTAGAGTTTGTGTTTAAGTAAGTGAAAAGACTGGCACCTTAAGAAGATATAGCACAGCCTTGCAGTCAGGATTTGGCATCCATAGAAGATTTTCCAGTTTTTGGCCAACTAGCCTGAAGCTCCTAGGAATAAATAGGGAAGTCTGGGCTATAAGCCTGATAAGATTCGCTACACAAAGCTGTACGGGTTGCAGCATGACCTCTTTATTACATAGGAGACACTCATAAGTTTTCAGTTGAGTCACGAGTCCATTGAGTATCTCTGAAAAGGGTTGTGGGTTCAGACATAAGACATTTCTGTGCTACCTTGGTAAAGAACTGCATTGATCAGATGACACAGAAGTCCCATCTTTGGTCTGGCAAAATATCTGTCTGTGCTGTACAGCCAGTCGTGGTCCAATGCAAGGCCCATTACACTGCAAACACAGAAGATTCACTCAGGGGAGGGAAAAGACAGGGCAAGTTCCATTGTTATAAAACTTCTAGTGAAATAAAGTGCATATTCAGAGACTGTTGAGATTTCAATGTCTTTCTGCACCTCTGCAGGCTTTGAAGGCTGACTGTGCCTTTTATGCTCTTTATGCCATTTTATGCTCTACTTCACTCTCCTCCAGCAGCATTTAAACTTCATTTCTAGATCTGCTCTGTAGATTCATTACCTCTTCTCTTAAATAATATAATCTGTTAGGGGAAATTAAATGTTCTCATGCCATTAGCTAAGAGCCTATGGTCCATACAGGAAATCTCAATACATTACTTTTACTGTGCATTTTGCAGCACGTAGATTGCCAATTAACTAAGAATGCATTGAAGCAAGGACATATTCCATTCCATTTAATAATTTAAATGCATTGAAGGACAATAAACGAAAGCAGGAAGCATGAGAAGCACAAAAGATATGCAAGATTGCTCCAAAATTGAGGCTATCCTAACATATTCTAGCTTAACAATTACATTTCAGTTTAACTCTCCTAATCCTCTCCTTTGGTTAAAACATAACTTGGTATAAGTACGAAGTGTGTATTTGTGCTATTTTAAAATTACATCAACTACTAGTAAACTGTTTTTCTAACTATCTGGAAATTATATCCGAGAACAACCTGAGGGTTGAATAAGGGGTCATTAATGGGAAGCAAAAATTTTTGTCTGGGGATGGCTGCTGACCGATCCCTCTGCCACCACCTCTCCCTCTTCAGTAGGAGCCCTGCTCCACATTGCCACACACTCCTCAAATAATATGCCCTTCCTCCTGCTATTTCTTCCCTCCCTGACAAGTGGGAGAGAGAAGGAGTGACTGCTAGGATTACAGCTGCTTCCAGTCAATTGTCTTGTTGGAGCTGTCATTCATTGGAGTGTGTGGAGCATTTCTGTGATGTCTGCAGGGGCTAGCAGTCCTCATCACCAGGAAGCCTGAGTCACTAGCTTAAAAACAGCATGGGATTACAGAGTGGAGAACAAAATGCTAGGAACATTAAATGAAGGAACTAATTCTAGAGATAGGGGTAGAGCAGGTAGGCTGTTTATTTTCTTTGCAAACTGGGAAGTTGATCAGGTCACAATGGGTGATCTGATAGCCCACAATGCTACCAAGCAGGTCATCAATCCACTGAGCCAGCAGTATGTTCCTAACTATGTGTAACAGTCTTCTGGCTTGGAGACTGGGCAGTAAGCAACCATGTGCAACTCGACCTTTTTTTTCGTAAGCTAGATAGAAGAAATACTGTATGATAATGTGCAGAGATTAGGTCTAAAACTCAGAAATTAATTCTGAACTATCTGCTTGTCTCAGCTGAGTATGATGTCATGGGGAACAATATAGCCCGTAACAGTTTTTGCAAAGATGATCCAGTCCTTCCTGAAATTCCATAGGGAGTGAAAATTTTCTTCTTTGATATAAAGTGATCATTCCAAGCTTAACTTGTAATACAGTAACTCAGTCACCTTTCAGGATTTAAACAAGGATCTTTTCAAGCAGTGAACAATAACATATTCTAGTAGCTGAAGGCACTTTTTACTACGAACATTATAAAAAAATCTGATGCAATGCAACCTCCTAAGAGAGAATTTGAAGATCTGGAAAGCGTCAGGAAGTAGTCTGAAAATGGTTTTACCTCTCCATTCTGCCTTTCATCATGAAGCAAGTCAAGAAAGCTCACACTTTTTGGTATTCTCAGGCAACATCAACAGCTTTGTAAAACTGAATTATTGTACAGTCCTCCTGCCTTGAGACTTATTACAATCCTCAGTCCTGACTTCTGCCAGCCAAGACTGAAGCATTCTCACTGGCTGGAAAGTCGAATTAAGACTTGAAGAAGGCTAATTCCCAGATGTGTCACTAATCACTGTAACAAGGAACTGTAGATCTGTCCACTGGAGGACACAGGGGTCTGCAGTTAAAGCCCTGTTCATGAGTGGCATTTCTAGCGATTGTGAGAAGCTACAGAAATCCAAGCAGGCAGTGCATCATATACAGGCAGAAGGAGATGAAAAAATTAGTGGCCACATCAAAAGCCTGCAAACTATAACCTAAAGATACTAGGTTGAAAAATCGCTACCCTCATTTTCTGTCTCATTTTCTAGCCCACACTATGGGAATGTCCTTGGAATGCTACTTTGTTCCTCACCTGGCCCCAGGAGGAGGCTGCCCACTCAACACAGGGCTGCTTGTTACAGTTCTGTGTGTCCACAGGGCGCTTGGACACCTGGGCACAAGCCTCGTTTGACATAGGGACAGAGCTGCCTTTCGCTGTCAGGCGCTGGCATGTCACTCGACGCATCTGTATGCCTCCGCCACAGCTCCGTGTGCAAGGAGACCAGGATGTTACCATCCACCTGTGAGAGAAAGGAGAGCAGATCAGGGAGCAGGCACTTGCCACTGCCTGCAGGATCCTTAGCATCAGCTGGTCTTTATCAGCTGGACCAAAGGCAGGCAGCAGTGGGCTGGCTCATTTAGGGTGTGATCCTGGAACATCTGAGTGTCTCAGCCTCCCATAGTCTTCACTGAAAGCTCTTCAGAGGATGAAAGCTGAGAAAACTGGCATTTTTTTCATTAATTTATCTTTCTCAAGGCTCTTTGGGGCTAGAATTAATTTTCTAGCCTTTAAAGCTGTTTTTAGAGGCTTAGTGAATAGTTCTGGTAGCTCTGGTACAGAGGTTGGGCGAGTCTGCTCCTACACCCAGGTGCCATGGAGGCCCAGGTCACAAGCTACAGTCACAGTGCTAGGACTAGCCCAGTACCACCCCTTAGTAGGGAAAACCATCTCTGTGTAATTGCTGGAGTAGCTTGCAGGCCACCTTAAACTTGTGAGAGAATAGCCAAAAGCCTGCTGGGTCCTGCTGCTGCCTGCCTCCTCTGTTGCACCCCTGACAGCTGCCATAATCCAGAAAACACTGCTCAGAATCAGTTAGCCCAGGGAAGTAAGGACACTGTTCTTCTTTCCTCTTGAGCTCAGACCATGCATTCACCAGCTGAGGCTGAGGCTCTGAACCCCTGTGTACTGGCATTTAAAAATCCAGTCTAACTACCTAAAAGGCTGTAAATAACAGAAAATATTAGTTTAATACATTTTGTCATTGTAAGGATCATTAGGCGAAACGTTCATACAACCAGGTTTGGAAAAGCGTTAGGTAGGAATAGGGAGAATGCAACTGATTGTTAGTTTTCTGAACAGTTTTATGGTCAAGCCAGAAGTTTGCTTCATTAAGTTTCTGGATACTAGGCAGGATTTATGTGGTTTTGGGAATAAAATATTGCCTATCACGTCCCTCACCAGCAGTGTTTATGATTACTTTACAAAATAGCAATGGGCATTCTCCAGTCCTATGGGGAGACATCCGTTTCTATTTCTCTGTCTTCTGCAGGTGATTAACTCCAGTGGTCACAGAAGCAAGTATAAGCAAACACATTCCCAGCCTGGAAAACAAGAACACTGGTACTTTTTCATGCAGTTTGGCAAGGTTGAACCTGCAATTTCCGCGCTGCTTATAAAGCTCTGGTCTGCATGTCAATCAACTTTTATTTCCAAGTTTACATCTCAGCAGTTTCTCAGGAGCTGAGGGAGGATTTGGGGTTGTGTTACAATTCAGGGAAGGTATAAAAATATATAAACCATTCCCATGGAATTTATTGTCAACAGCAAGGAAAACTGCTGCTAATGAGAGTTGTTTCATATTTCATCAAATCTCTTTTGGTTTCCTCCTTATGACTCAGCTGGCAACTCAGAAAACATTTGCCTGCAAAGAAGAGTAGGAATATACTTTAGAAGGTAATTAAACAGAAACTTGCAATATGCCCAAGACACAGCAAGAGTGGTGAATCTGGCCACTTCTCATCCAGTTGCTTAGCACCTCTCCTTGCCTCAGCTTAGACTGTCTTTTTTTTTAATATGTCCCAAATCACTGTTGAATGAGGGAAGTTGCACTAAATTTCTCTTGAGATGTTCACTACTTTTAACTGCTTGTGTACTGAAACATAACATATCCAGACTGAAAATAAGGGAGAGGAGTGAGTAACACCATGGAAAATATGGAAAAACATGTTAACACATCTCAGCTAAGGAGATACTGAATTGCAGAAGCAGGATATTTTTAATATGGAGGGGGTATAACACTACACTGACTCTCTGGATAAGCTCAGGATATACTCTTCTTTGCACTAAAGAGTGTCAAAAAAAAAGACTTCGTGTGGGGTCAGAGAATCATTTATGTTGGAAATGACCTTTAATATCATCAAGTCCAATCATTAACCCAGCAATGCCAAGTCCACCATTAAACCATGCCCCTAAGCAACACATCTACACATCTTTTAAATACGTCCAAGGATGACGACTAAATCACTTTCCTGGGCTGACTGTTCCAATGCTTGACAACCCTTTCCATAATAAATTTTTATCTAATAGCCAATCTAGACTTCTCCTGGTGCAGCTTGTGGTTGATTCCTTTTGTCTTGTCACTTGGAAGAGGAGGCTGACCCCCACCTTACTACAGCCTCCTTTCAGGCAGTTGTAGAGATTATAAGATCTCCTGAGCCTCATTTTCTCCAAGGTAAACAACTTAAGCTCCCTCAGGCACTTCTCATGGGACTTGTGCACCAGACCCTTCACCAGCTTCTCTGTCCTTCTTCTTTCTTGTAGTGATGGGTCAAAAATTGAACACAGTACTTGAGATGTGCCAGAGGAAGACCTAGGTGTAGCCACAAGTTTTTCAAGCTCATTTGTGTTTAGAAGTAAGTGAAAACCAAGGGACTACAAGGGCAGAGTTACAATTCCAAGGCAACCACAAGCTAGCAAACTCCAAAAAGAGGCAGAACTCAGCCCCCTTCATGCCCACTAGATCCGATGAGGTGTGCCCATTTTACAAAAGATATTTCCACCCTGATAAGGGAATCCTTTGCAGCTGGAGATACAGCTACAGTCATGCCCATATTGATGTCCAGGCAACGAACTCAGAATAAAATCACAAAATAGCTGCTAAAATTAGCTTCTTGTCTGTTATATTGTTGGGGCAAAAAGTTATGAAACCATGCATAACACAAAAAAGAAATGATCCTACAGTTCTTGGGTGACAAAATTCCCATGTGTTCAGTGATCAGAACAGGCATGATATTTATTGCCAACATAGGGTGTGACTGGAATCACCCAAGACATTGCAAGCTGTGAATTCTCTTTCTACCTTGTACTGTCAATGTTTTCCACAAATATAGCTTCAAATTCCCAACTGTCTGGATTAAGCACTCAGAAACTCCCTTTTAGCCATGACTTCTCCAAACAGGCCCCAAAGAAGCTGCAGAGGTGTGATGCACCACACAAAGAGCTCTTTCAGCACATTTTAAGTGCATGTAAGATATTTTCACATGAGACAGACGAACCGTGAAGGGCAGTCCCTCCTGTTGCACGCGATGGGCTGCAGAGATGGCTTGGGTGTCTCTCTGCAGTAGGATGCGTTGACTTCGGCCCCATCCAGTAAGCACGTCAGCTGGGGCAGCTGCAGCCCTCTGTGGCCGCAGGAAGCCGAACAAGCCGTCAGTTTGTCCACCGACCACCGGTACTCTGTCAGGAAGTGTGGGAGAGGCATGTTAACACTGAAAAACTGACAGCAGGAGCTTAATTAGAAAGGAGAATGCTGTAGATGTTCTCCAGGGTGAATCCCTGTAGGATTCAGTGCAAAGGTGATACCTACCACAGCAAGGCACCTGATTCAAACCCCTGACTGCCTTTGGTGTAACAAACAGTTTTTTGGTGCTTAGAAGCATCAGGCATGGAAAGTTAGTAACATGGTATGGCAGTTAAGTGAAACCAGATGCCAGTGAGCGTCTATAGTTTTAAAGGTGTATTATTTTATGAAGATATGATTAGCTGTAGTTCCCAGCAGTATCTATGACTCTATGATCTTGAGACACGGTGTCTCTTATCAGTTAATGCAGATCATCAATCCTGATGATAAATATAGGAGTTGCAACGCACTCAAAGTTTTACAGCATAATTGAAGGAAAAGTTAAATTCTTCATCTCTCCATCACTGATGATTGGAACAATGAAATCTGCATATTCTCTTCCAACCCAGCTGCACCACAATGTTCTGTGTCTTTATTGCCATTGTCTTATTTCTAGGAAATTTCTAACAATAACAATTCCAGAACTTTTGCAATTGAAGGGTTTTCAAGTTCACTGTGTGACACTGACCTCTGTGTATTAATAGAGGGGCTTCTGGTTTAAGGGGTTTAAACTCTGCCATCTCTGTCTTCGACAAGAAAATTGTCCAGGCTCAACGTAAGTATACCTTGAATCAGTAAGGTGTGTTTTATGCTCAGCAGGGTAGAAATATCAAGTGTTGTTTTGTTAAAGTACAAGACAACTTGTACAACTTGTACAACTTTACAAGGCACTGTAAGGTACCCCCTAGTCCTGCAAATATATATCCATGGCAATAAATCATTAAGACATCTTTTTTCCTGATATGAATGGTGGTGGTTTCAGAGGTGAGAAATTCGGGATGAGAAGGCAGTGCAGGGAAGTCCATGGCAAGAGCCTTCCAGGGTGAAATGACTGAAACTGAAGAGTTACCTTGTATAGCCAGGGACGTTACTTGTGTGAGCGAGCCAGCCTCATTCTGAGCAAGGCAGCTGAATTCACCATCAGTGAAATCACTGACATTGGCTATCTCAAGAATCCGTCCTGCTGCCAGGAGTTGATGTTGCAGACTGAGAGGCTCACCAGAGTAAAGCCAGGTGATGTTTGGGGTTGGATGTCCATCGACAGCACAACCTAAAAAACAGGTATATGAGAAAAACCTGCTGAGTATTAAACTTGGTACATGCTTTGAAGTGGTCAAAATTAGGGGAAATAGTCAATTCCATCCCATTTTCTCCTCATTTTCTCATAAGCATAAAAAGAATTCTGTAATAAGGAATACCTTCTTGTCATCCAGAATAAAATCCAAAATCTGGACAATCCGCAATATGGAAAATTTCTGATCAGTTTGGAATTATTTATATCAGACCTTCTAAGCTTCCCACTATTTTTGATTATCCTCATTTTAGTATTGAAGAAAGTGAGATAAGGAAGTTACAAACCTGGCATAAACTCAAGGACCATGCTTGAACATGCAATACAAACACAACTTGGTCTCCAAATTTTCTACATAAGCCACAGGACTACCTTCCTCTCTCTCTTTCTTTTTTAAACATTTTTTTTAATGTAATTTATTGTTTGTGTTATTTTAAAAGTCAGAAATTTTTGTTGGACAAAAAAAAAATCTGTTGAAAAACCAAAGCAATAAAATAGAGCCTTTACAGGTTTGGCTGGGTTGTGTGGGTTTTTTGTTTGGGTATTTTTTTTTTTTTTTGTCACACCAGTGGGCAATTGTCTAAATAATAACCAACCAAAACCAGCAACTGAAAAAACCCTGATGTTCTAAAGCATTGTGTGAGGGCTGTGGATCACCAGCAGAGATGATGAGATTTAAATTCTCTGTGAGTTCTTTGCCTGTTGACCTGAAGGAAGTGCATCTACAAGACACTTTTACTGTGGTTCTCATATCACTGAACACTTTGCAAGTTTCACAGTTAATTGTAAGACTGGTGTAACTTGTGAAGGACAGCAAAGTTGTCTTGCCTATTTCCTGGGGGAAAAATTAAGAACTAGGTGATTTCTGTAGTGCAAGCCATCCCCACTAATGGGGTGGGGAGGCAGAAATGCTGTATACGAGGGATGGTATATGTCACTAGAACTGCTTGTGGTTTAGGCTTGTCCTGCACTGCTGTGCGTGTCACTGAGACATGAAAGGTCTCTAAGCTTCTGAAAATGCAATTTATTCTGATGGGTAGTTATACTGAAGCTTTATATTGTTGTGTATATATTAATATGTATTTGCATGAATGACTATGTTGTATACAAAATCCCTTCTGAAAGAACTGTCCTGTAAAAACAGACATAGCATATACACAACAATTTTCACACTAGCACTGTTCAAAAAGAATGGGATAAAAAAAGGAAGAGTACAAATTAAAAATACTAAAAATAGAAGACTCTTCTAAGATGAAGGAATAATCCATCAGCTGATATTTCTTCACTGACATCTCCATGTGATTTGATTACTATTTATTATTCACTGAGACAAGTGAAGGTGTGAATATGAAGCCTCTGTAGCTGCACTACACAATTAACAAATGCTGCAGCATGACATTTTTATTACTGCTCCTCCTTCGATTCTTGTTTGATCACCTGAGGAGAACCTTAACTAGCATATACTGGGCAAGTACAGTTCCTACAACAAAACACCATTATCATTAATCTGCTCAGGAAGATTGAAGAGTTCGATTTTCAAACATCATTAAGACCAAATCCTTGAGACTTAAGGAACTCTTTACTTCATTTAGGGACTCTTGTGACCCTTTTGAATTCGGTTATACCTGTGAACTAATACTAGGGGACTGTGCTACTGTAGTCTTTTGCACCTTTTGCCATTAATCATACCTCCAACTACACTATTCCTGTCACAGAAGATACTCTCTTGCCCAGAAAAACAGGTTCTCTTGCTTATAAAGCAGAAGATCTTACACAAGATGGAAAATGCCAGTGGTGACCTCTGGTATGCCCCAGCCATTTGCATGCTGAGGGGTAGATCCAGGCACTGGGGATAAACTGTCTGCCACTCAGGATAAATGCTGGGGCTCTCACTGATGCTGTGGCTACATGCTAGTCTCCTGTTGCTGTCAAAGCCTGCCTGTATCCACGGTGGGGAAGGGTGAGGGCTGGATACAGCTGCCCTTTGGGACTCATTCACTCAGTGAAACTGGTAGTTCAGAGAGCAAGGGCTCCCTGACAAAAGACTGACACACAAACAGAGTAGACTCTGCAATCACAATGACAAAGTTGCATTGGAAATGGACTAGTAAATGCAGAAAAATGTTTAAAAATAAGGAAAAAAGGGGAAAAAAAGCACAGTGACAGTGCAAACTGCCCCTAGTGGGTTCACCTCTTCCCCCTTTTTACTTTTATTTATAAGGGTGAAGAGTTTTAATTTATTTGGCAAGATCTAATGCAGTTTTATCCTTGGCAATTATCTCTACCCAGCACTCCCTTCCTGACAATAAAGACACAGCATTCTCTGCGGCTCAGTTATTTTCCCTAATTTTGTAAGCTCTCTATTTATTCCTACTGTTTAATTTTTTTTTTCCACTCTTGTGCTCAAAAATAACTCACACAGTTTCCAAAATACTCATTCTCAAGTAAATGAGTGACATGAAAGGTTTTAGCCTTTTACTTTAAAGGCCACCTAAATTAAAAACAATGGAAAACAAAAGAATATAAGGAAATGGAAAAACTTGAAAAGTGTCTCTATGGCTTTTGCCTAGATTATTCCAATTTTTTTGTAGTTTACTTGTCTTTTAAGATGTGTAGTGATTTCCACAGGTCAGCATACACCCATGACAACTAAAAAGGGCATGCTGTGAGACCAGTTTTATTGTTTGCATTTGCAAGCAGTCTGCAGAGCGTAAATGCAGAAAGCAGAAAGGTCAGCTTGATGCTACACACAGAGGAACTGAATCTGAATTCAACATGCAGATGGTCCTGATTCATGTTGTTTTTTTAAAAAAATATATTGTCAGGAAAAGCAATATAATCTTTTAATACTATTTCACTAATCTTACGTAAGATTTCTTCTTCCAAAATTGTCTATATAAAACATTAGCTAAAGGACAGCCAGTAATCAATAATATGGGGGAAAATTCCCAAAAGCTATTGCTTAGATATGCACTATCAGTAAGTAATTATTATTTAACAGCAAAACTTTATTAATACCTATCAATCACATCTCACAAGTGACATCTCCTGGACATTTCCCATGTGTATGGATGCAAAGGCTGTTGGATAATATTTTATGCATCGTAAGTCAGAACTAGAGCACAATAAAATCGCATGTTCCATTAAAATCTCCTTGTCATCTCCCAGGAATAACATTAATACCATTTAATGCAGATTACTAATACTTACTCTCTATTTCCACAATCCCTGTGGACACTGACTGTTTTATCCTTTCAAAACTCAAAGCCTGTCCCTATAATGACTAAGAAGGAAAAACTAGCTTTGTTTCCAGACAGCGCAGCTATTACAGAGCTTTCAGGTATTGGAACCCTTGGGAAGATGATCAGGGAACACATTTTTGGGACTGTTTTGAGCAGTGAAAGTTCTGGCATGAGAGGGCCTTTCTGCTTCGGTCCTTCTTAAATAAAGAAAAAAAATATTGCCTTCATCCTCCCTTCCAGAGATTACTTGGACTCTAATTCATTCAAAGTCAGGATGAGCCAGTAATGTGCACAAGATGGAGATAGAGACACAAATCTAATAAAAATGACATCTTCTAGCAGGGAAAATGTTAATATTTCAAGGATAACAACAGGGTATTTGGAAAGGGAGGACTGATGTTGCGCAACTCTACAGTTTCTCAAGAGGAAGGAATAAATGCACACTCCAGGCCAAATTCAGCTCCCCATTGAAACTTTGCAACAGTTTCTGAATGACTGTAGCTACAGAAAAGCTCTGGGCTAACATGCCGATCCTAGGAGAACAAAATATAAAGCATGCACCACTTTTGCACTTTCAGACCTGATAAAAATTAGTGCAAAGGCTGTTGATTTTAGGATTCCTTTTCTTTTCGGCAGCCTGATACTGTATGGAAAACAATGGTAAAAATGTCAAGTGAATTTTGCATGTTCTAAATACATTTGAAAATGTAAATTAAAAATCAGTACAGCACTTCCTGTAAAATAGATGTCTATTCTTAAAATATAGATTATTTTCATGTGTTCATATTTGTCTAACAACTCTCTAATTTACTAACTGACATTGTTGACATTTACTAATTTACCACTGACATGATGATTAGCCCCAGGAAATGTTTCTAATATTCATTAAAGATGGAATGTGGGTGAAGACTTCAGATCAAGATCAGGTAGTTTATTTGATTTTTGTGTTTCTTTTTTTGTATTTCTGTGTTATTTTACTGAACTCTAACAGAAAGGAGTTGTGGATCACAGTACATGGTATTAAAGCAATAAATGTGATGCTCCTTCAGGACTTGAAACATGACTGTATTTCCACTCTAAACTCTACATTCAAGGAAATAAAGTATGCTTTCAAAATAGAAGCCAGTTTAAGGATGAAATGTGGAGTAAAATGCTTGGAACAAACTGTGGAGAAGCCACAGATCAATCTGAATAGACACAAGTTTGATGCTGAGCTATTACATTGTGGCTGACACTGTGCTACTGTGTTCACTCTATGCAGGTGAGATACCTGGTAGTGAGAAACACTCCCAGCTTCTGGTCATAGCTTATTTTCTCCTTAGCTGATGAAATGAGAAGTGAACGTTAAATGGAATGGAGTTAAAATTCAATTCCATCCTGTATCTAACATAAGGATGAAAAATTGATGGGATGTATTCAACTTTCAAAATGAAATCAAAGCAAATGAAGGTAGATAAGATCATGTCTGAAAGTCACATGTATGTAATACCTGTTTTGCTGAAGAGGCAAAAGTAAGAGACATGTCTTTGCAGTTTCTCTTATGAATAAAGATCTTTCAATATACTAAAAAGTTACAGACACTTAAGTTTTTGCTACTATGCAAATCGTTTCTCATTGCTTTCACATGCTGAATGAAATAAAATTTATAAAAATCATTGGAATTAGGAAAAAACTGAAAGAATTAGTGTTTGTAGAAATACAACTTAAAATTTTTAAGGCAATGCAGATAACATGAAT